CCAGATTTCTGCATGCATGTTGAAGCAATTAGCTGACTATGAATTAGTGTATCAAATTCATTGTAGCAGCGCAATTTTCATTTTAAACATTTTCTCTAGTTTGAAATAAAATCAATGAATAAATAAATGTTAAGCTAATTGATGTTTAATTATATTGTAAATCATTATCTCTGTGAAAGTAAAAACTGGCAGTGGCACTTAAAGCAACTAATTATGGCCGGTAGGACAGGTTCTACAGAAGAGAGTATGTTAGTTGATAGCTGCAATGTGGCTTGACCGTCAGGATGTTCACGTTCGCATATTTTTTGCTTGGAGAGGACGACCCCATTCATATATATAGTCAATGCAAAGGATTCGTATTTAAGCCTGTGCAAATGTAAAGACCTAAGCTTAAGCTGGGAGTTGGACCCAAGACTACACATTCACGGAAAGCTGTTTTTATCCAGTGTGCTAACAAAAGGCAACTAGGAATGCATATTTTTCTGTTGAAAGATGAAATTACGAAATTCAACTCAGTCTGACCTCTTGACATGATCTGTTGACGTCAAGGCTTCTACATGTGCTGTCATACCTCCCTTTCGACTTGAAGAAGTATGTATTCTACTAAATGTGATAACGGTTAACGAAAGCCCTCCGTTTCGGAGGATTCATCTGTGGTCAGGGGCATTGCAAAGACCAGAGCTAGAACTGGAGTTTCAATCTAGAACTTAACTGATATGTGCACAGTCTTGCTCGTACCTTCTAAGCTTTTTTTCCTACCTTCTACGTCTTTTTTTTACTTATAATTTTATTCATTTTGACTTATTGAGATTCTAATTTTATGCCGTGTGATTTTTTAATTATATATGTCCTTGTTTTTTACTTGATTGTATGTATATAGTTTGTGTTTTAATGTTGTGATTGTGCTTGAGTTTGTTTTTGTGGTTAGATTCCTTATTTTGTGGTGAACTTAAGAGGCGACCCAAACAAGATCATAAGGTCTACGTTTAGATGAGATGGATCGGTCGTATTCCTCTAATTTGTAACCTTCTGAGCTCTCCAGAGCTAATTGCTGGCAGTGGATATTTTGTTCATACGATGAGACAAGAATGATTTGCTTGGTTACGTTGGTGTGACTTACTATGATGTTTGGTTTCGTTTATTTGATTGTGGCAAGGCAAACGAGGGCTGTCTCTCTAAAGAGAGGAATGCCTTGTTAAAAATCTTTTTAAGAAAAACTGTCTCGCACCCACGTTCTATATAGGGAAAACCTCGGAAACTCTCTTGCAGCCCGAAAATACTTGCCTGAAGTTGAGGGCAAAATGTATCACGAAATTCTGTTTGGAAGTTATAAATTTCGGAGTTAAGAGTTTTCATAGGCAAAAGTTCCGTACTTGGTAATTACGAAATTTGTATCACAACGAACCTCTGATGGAGCTTAATGTTTGTTACTTGATTTGTTTTGTTGCTTTGTCTAAGATTGCTTCCTGAAAAGCAAAATACTTATAAAATATCAAATTTGAAACCTTTACAACGTAAAGCAGCTTACATGTTTCATTCCAGTAATTTTAATGATCAAAGAAATTACTTAGAGCTCGAATTATATAAACTAACTATAGAACCACGGCTCATTTAGTTATTGGAAATATCTACATAATTTAGTTGCCCTGCTTCTGTTGACTTTACTTACTTCAATGTAAGTATAAGTCTTTATTGTTTATCGTCTCTTATTACAAGACGAATTATATATAGTTAAACGTTTACACTTAAACTGAAAGGAAATAAAATACTCTTTCTCAAAAGTTTAGTGCACGAGACACATTCTCAGGAACTTATCAAAACTCATTCTCAAGAATAAAAACTATAAGGAAAAGGGTACAAAGCGTGCATATCATAAAATAATTGACTGAAATTATGTAGCATACTGTACCATAAAAATTGTTTGCATGGAAAGGGAAATGATGCAATGATAGCAGATTTATTTAGTTCACCTTTATAGATAAGAATCTCTTGCGGCAACGGAAATGGCACATGGAATGAGTAATTAATTTCGCACGTAATCGTAATTAATTTCACATATAATTTGTGATAAATATTCATTTAAATTTATTTAACAGCTTCTTAAAAAGTACCTATTTTATTGTATTATATTTTTAAAATACTGAATTTAAATCAATAATAGTAAAATATATTTAGCCTGGACTAAGCAAGAGATATAAATAGCTAAACTGCTACTAGATGTATTTTATAAATTTTATAGTCGTCTAGAGTAGTGGTAGCAAACTCAGATAGTATGTGTACAGAGTGCACGATCTAAAAACAGCTCACAGGGTAGAATTTTTACTATTGTTATTTATTTATTTTTAAATAAAATATTTTAGTAACAAAACAAAAATACTTTAAATAAATTTAAAACTTTCTGATTAAATATTTATCAATACATATACAAAGAATAATAATAACATTGGAATGGAAAAAAATCAAATTTATATTTATTTTCTGTTTGAAATCTAAAGTTTGGTATCTGTAAGATACTTTTGTTGGTTATATTTTGCAGTTCAAATACATCGATTACTGAATATTAAATTCTTAGACTGATGTTTCTTTTAAACAATTCTAGCATGTTTAATTAATCCTTAAAGAAAGTACTTTAATTTACACTAAAAATAAATAAATAAATAAAATTTTTAAATTTTCAGAGATAATATGCCGAGTGGGACAAAACGTGAGAATAAATAATGACGACATAGTCTTTTTCTCTTATTTATTAAATATTTCTTCGACGCACAGATAAAAACACATAGGTTTGTATGTAAACAGTTATGAACTTCTTTTGCTATAGTTTAACACTCGATGGCGATTTTTATAAATATTGTAGCCTTGGAAAAAATTGCTAGAAATTATTTTCATCACGGATTATAGATGCTCATCGACCAATCGGGTTCTTATTAATTTTAAACCGTGAAAAAAAAACTACTCTCATATAAATGTATTCCCAAATAAAGCGATTATTCTTAGTGCAAAATGTCATAACCGAGCTTATTTAATTTTTGATAAGTATGAAAAAAAATTAATAAAATCTGGATCTTCAAATCTTTGAATAAGATTTATATCACTGTGAATTAATTAACTTCATTTATAAATTTTCTACGGTATTATTCTTGCTCGTAATTAATGGTGATGAAAATAATGTAAACTCGGATTTAAATAACTAAATATTGATATCTTTGTAACCCGTACTTGCAAAAAATACATAATTGAAATGCATTCTGGGGCTGCCAGTTCCAGATCACTGGTCTAGAGTGCAATAGAAACACTCGGTTTCCTAAAAATTAAAGTTTCATTAAACCTTTTTCCTGACTTTAAACATGGTTTAAAAAACATTTTCATAGATTTTCAATTTAATAGAACAACTGCATAGGCAGATCTGATTTTCAGAAGATTGCAAAACTTATATTGAGTCATATTCTAAATCATTTTGCATATGAGCACATAACGGCCTGCACTTGCTTAAAGAACTACAAAGAGTTATCATTTGCACCGGAGATACGGATTTGCAATACAATTAAACATTAATTAGATAAACATTTATTTTGCATATTTCACGAGTCATGAATTATTTTATGAATTTGATTTCAATATTAACTGCTTACTTCAGAATACACTAGACTTCAATTAAATTAGTAATTTAAGTAATAAAGGACTGAGAAAGAAGTTCCTAAATTTACTTTCAATATTTTAGTATACAAGACAGATGTGTGTGTGTGTGTGTGTGTGATTATTGCAAAGCCTCGAGGGCTATCTGCCTAAGGGGAGGGATGCCTTCGTGGAGGACTTTCTAAGGGAGACTGGCTCCTATACACGTTACACATGGGGAAAACCACTAAAACACCCATGCAGCCAGCCCGTTCGTGGGGGATTCGAACCTCGGACCGAACTACCAGTGTTCAGCGACTTTACCACTCGGCCGCTGGTGAGCTACAAGACAGATGAGTTTCGCAAATGCGAAGATCTTAGGAAACGAAATGAATTATAGTATGAAAATGTGACGGTGCGAGCAGCAAACATATTACATGCAGCTTCTAAACTGCTGTAAACTGAAAAATGGTAGCTTCGAATTTGAGCCATCTTAAGAACTGCTTCACAGATGAGCCACCGTAATACTGAATTTTTGCATTTTTGAATGCTCTAATAATTTCATGCATATTCGTGACAAGTACAGTTTGAGTTAGTTAAGAAACTCAAGTAGTTGAAGCATAATGGTTCATGGCAAAACATTGTGGGGACTTATTTAAGTTTCTCAGCAGTTAATTTTGTTTTGATGCAGCCCTTCCTGTTACTGTCGCTTTCAACTCACGCTTTTTTGCCGGAATGCAAGGAGTTCACGCGCGTGTGTTCAAATGAAGTAGAAAGAAGTTAGTAGTTAAGGAAAAGTTTCGGAAGATTATTTTAGAGCGTGTTCTGGCTGTCTGAAGGGCCCGTTGTTATTTTTGATTACTTGCAATTAGAGTTCTGTGGCATTGAGCACTTATAGCCATTGGGCTTGTTTACGCAGACTTTTACAAGTCAGATCCTGCCTGCGCGTTAAGTAATCTGTGAAAAGCCGTTATTCTAACTTAATTCTATTCCAAGTTATTTGTTATCTTTTTAGTGAAGCCTTTTGAGTTGTTGGCTTCTTGTAAGCTCGAGTCGGTGCCATCTGTAAATAATATTGAGTCAATAAAGGGTTCTTTACACTCCAGACTGGCGTACGTAAGACCGTATTTAAGACTTCAAGATAATTCCTTACACAGTCTGTTAACGTCTGTTTATTTTATGGTCGCTAAGAATACGAGATGTTATAATATAATAACTTCAAGTAGACCGAAACTATCAGGAAGCACCAGGATTTGAGAACATAGGCTTATTATCGGAAACATTCTGTTTGCTAAGTGCTCTAATTACTGAGCCAACTTACCTGGAGAAAGCATACAAAACTTCTATTAATATTTAACAAAATTAATTTAAGATTCATACATTACCTCTGTCAGCCATAGTGGAGGGCGTCCCAATGTGTGTATGGCGTCTCAAAGGCTGGTCCCTGTCAACTCTGTTAAGGTCCCTTACGAGAGAAAAGGTTATGAAATACTTAAAAATACATATCTCCTAGTAAAATTTTATTTACTTCGCTTCAAAAAATTGTAAGAAAAAGGAATGCATAACAAAATTCACCTTATTGGACGAGTAACAATAAGTTCAATTTGAGGCTCTTGTCTGGATTCCGCAATAATGTCGTACACTTCTTCATATGTTTTATTCTGAAGACTCCTTCCATTCCATTCTAATACTTCGTCACCTTCGTAAGAAATAAAAGGTAAAGTTTCCAACGAGATCAAGATGGCAGTTATCAAAAATTATTGTACAGGTAAATTTTTATGTAACCATTTTTGAATAATAGTCAATTGTTTAATCTTTTTCATACAACTCCCAATATCTTTTATTCTTTTAAAAAGATTTTGGCAGGCTTAGAAACTTCGTTATTCCTCAGTATCGGCAATAAAATGTTTTTCTTAATATGCTGCTTGAGTCTGAAATAATTAGCTTATATAGTTTTGCCTTTAGGTTTTTAGTTTGAAATTTCCGTTTCAGATTTAAAACTAGGTCAGAGAATCTAAGTAAGAATAATTTTTTTTTGCCTAACAAGAAGGGACTCTTAACACTTTAGCTATGATTTCCTTAAAATTACTGTAAAATAGGAGCTTTAATCTTTATTAAAGGTCTGGTAAGAATACATTAAAAAGTTTAATTTAATTCTAGGGGTTAATCTATTTTACAACTCTTTCAAAACGAATATTGCCTTAATATTTATAAGGTATATTCTTTCTCCTTTCAGTCTGCCTTCGTGATGTAATAGTAGCACATTCGACGCGTATTCGAGAGGTCCAGGTTCGAGTCTCGGCGAAGGCATTGCTCATTTTTCATGTCTCCTTCTACAAAATAACCTAATGACTAAACATTTTATTCAAAAATCTTCTTTCTTATCATGTATTACGTTCTTGGCGCAATGCTTCTCAAATAAGCAGTTGAGTATTTTGCCTGTCTCATCAATGCTGCTTGACTTGAAAAAATGTTCGGCGGCACATTGACTACATAAAATTTTGCATAACATAAAATATCACGTAATTGACTACAAAGAATTTTGCATAACATAAAATATCACGTAATTGACTACAAAGAATTCTGCATAACATAAAATATAGCGTTAGATGATTAATCAGATTTTTAAATGGAAATTTTATCATTCCACCCATTCCCTCTAATTGACAAATCGAAAACACCAGAATGTAGCTAGAGACAAAATAAAAAAATAAATGTATTTACTTCCCTACGGAAATGTTTCGTGACCTGTGATACAAAAAAGAAAGATTATTATTTGCTCTTCCGCATAAATAAATCATTTAGAAATTTACTTTCCTTAAAAAGTAGGAATACGTTTTTATTATTTCTTTTTTATTTCCTTTTATTACGTTTAATTAATCATGACTGTTTATAGTCTTTTTTTCATTGTGTTTTAAAAATATTGATTAATTATATGTTGTTTTACTTATTCCATATGTATTTTATAATCATTGTTGTAATAAATTTGCTTCAAAGATCTAAAATTTTATTAAAATATATTTATTCTTTTTAAGCTCTCGCATTCCTTCTAATTACTTTTCGAAATTTTCTTTTTCTTTACATTTGAAATCGTGCTCTCATTTAAATGAAATCTTAGAATGTGTGTTAAAAGCTGTATTATTTTTACTTCGAGACTTCAAAGCTCATGAAAAAAAAATTATAATTTATTCAAATATCAATAAATGGAGAAAAAAAACATAGTAGTTCATGTTTTTTTAACCAAGCAATTTATGAGATTATTCATTGGAAAATGTAAAAAACTTTCTACTAATTGCTGTTGCATGAGAGATTCTTTCTATTCTAAATCTATTCCAAAGTAGTATTTCTATTCCAAAGTAGACAGACTTTATTTAATTTATTTAATAAACATTTCCTTATAAGATAAAATTAAACATTTAATCGGTGAGTTCATTTAGAAGCAATAAGTGCGGGAAGGCTATACGGAAATTTTTTATGTTACAACAACACATATTTGACATTTTATCTTGAAATTAAGAGTCTAATTCAGCATTAGAACTTGGAGGTTTTGGCAGCTATTTTCTAGAGCAGTATTAAAAAAGACTTTAACAATAAAACAGAAAAATTATATACTCCAGAATATCATTTTTAGCATGTTTTAACTTTGGCTAGCTGTTAATATTTTAAGTTTCTTGAAAAGGCATAGCAGTTACAAAACCTTTTGCCATGTCACCCAAACTTAAGTATTATAAATGCATAACTTCTTAATAAAATTCCTTCTAATTCAGAAAATCGAACTATTGGCAGCAGAAACACACCAAATATTCCAAAATGTTTGAATAAAACAGCTAACTTTCCGTTTAATTAATTCTAAGCGACGCCTGAAGATAAAATACTAAAAATTAAATTCCTTGTCCCAATTAATTAATAAAATCAGTTTAACTAAAGTAAAAAATAAAGTTCATGAAATTATCTAGTGTTATATTTTGAAACCAATGACGACATTTCTTCTGCGCACGCTATTCTGCTGTAGCGGTTAGGACATCTAAATAGTCATTTGAAGATCTGTGGAACGAATCTCGAACATAGCATAATTTATTTTTCGTGTTTCCTGCTCCGAAAAGTTAAACAGTATCTAAAATTTAACTAGTTAAAATTTACAACATTTTAACTGTATTTAAAAAAAATTAGCTTCTAAAAATAATTTTCACTTTTTTAGAAGGATGAATTTTGCGATACATTATAGCACCTTGTTAAAGCACCTTATTTAAATCTTACGAGTTTACGTGATGCATTTCTACTTCAAATGATATATTAGGAGTTTCACATTCCTTCTTTAAAGTGAAATTCGCTTTTAACAATAAAGATGAATGAAAAATTTTAATTTTAAGATTCTACAAATAAAGCTGTAACGTAACTGAAAGCGAATTTAGAGGCGTCTTCAGAAAATTTCTTATTTATAAATCTATAGAGCTTCAAATATTTAAAGAAGGAATATTTGAATGCATTTTTTTGAACTGTTCGTATTTCAGATTACTTTATATTAGGAGTTCTCAACCAAAGGGGCAATTCTCCTGACGGAATTTTATAGTTTCAAGGGGGATACAATTAGCTTATTATTTGGCTGTTAAGTATTTTATGAATATTAAAAAAAACTACTGTTAATTAAATTTTGATATTTATCAACATTTTCTGTATTTTTGTTGTTAAATTTATCAAATCACGTTAAAAATAATCTAAATCTAAATAAATGTGTATATATTTTTGGAGTTTGGGAAAGAAAGGGGAGATAAACTTCTAGCAATAGTGAAAAAAGCGCATGGGGTAAACAAGATTTAGAAACACTGCTCTGGATACTACGAATTTATTGATAAAATCACAGTATTTTAAATATTTCAATGAATAGTGTACTATAAGGCGAAATAAAAAAACTAATAATGCATTGTTGAAAAAATGTGACTCAATACAGTAAATTAGAGTAAATAATTAAACAATTTATTTTAAACTACTAACTGTGATTTATGAATTACCAACTTGTTCTTCGAAAATGTTGTTGCTTCATTGCATCGAAAAATTTTAAGATGGGAGACGTTTCTGTATGACTATTAGTCCGGGATTAATTAAAAAGGAACTAATTTAAAAACACAGAAGTAATAAGCTCACAAATCAATTTACTGAAACTCGCACGAAAATAAAATTTGTGGTATTTACTTACGTTCTAAAAAAACAAATTTCGATATCCATTCTGTGTTCACATCGTTCTTACAGGAATTTCAAAATATTTTGCCTACAGATTCTGTTAATATAATTCCTAAATAATATTTTAACATATTTGTTTTTAGTTTAAATTTTATCCAATTACATTACATTTTATGTAAAGGTCGAATATATCACTTCACATGAATGAAATTAACACTTAAAGTATTTGAAGTATTCTATTTAGAGAATGAAAATTTTAAAAATCTATAAAAATACTATTCTATTTTATATTATAAATTTTAATTCATTCAATAAATTCACAGAAAATGAAGAAGCATTTTACGAAAAATCCGTTTGTCTGACAGTTATGCATAAAGCTATCTGTAAGTCACCAAGAATAAGCAGCATATAATTTTTGTCTCATTGAGAGAGAATGCCGTATAGGTTTTAATGAAAAAAGTTATTTAGCATTTGTTAGAACGATATTTAAAGATAATACTATTGTGTTTGTAATGCTATTTCAGAATAATACTGTCACTGTTCTAATGATATTTCAGAATAATTCCATTATTTCTATAATAACATTTTAGATACAACATGCGAAATATTGATTCTGAGCCCTCTTCAATATAATACACATACTGCTAAAATTACTACTAATAAAGAATCTGGCTAAAACTAAGGATTACTTAAAACTTGTCTTTCACACAAAGAATTTTTAGTACAAAAATCAGAGTGGTTCTTACCTGGCTTTATTCTTCCTAAAGTATCAGCAATGCTTCCCCTAACAACCTTTTCTACCACTGCGCCCATCTGACAAGAATCAAGTATCTTGCCTCCCGCTATCCTGAGACCTAACATTGCTGCTCCTGATGAAGTGTCCATGCCTTCTTTAAATGGTTTCTTTAGGATCATATGTCCAATCATCCGAGTACCATCTTTAGAAGGTTGCCAAGACACTGGGTGCTGTAAATGCATAAAAGGGAGTTATATTGCGTTTCTCGTGTTGTTCCTATTTTTTGAAATTTTGAATCATAGTATATTAATTGTTCTTATTTTGGAATAAACTATACATTTTAATCAACTGAGAAGTAGATGCTATTAATTTGATTAAGAACAAAGAAAATTTCAAATTTCTTAAAAGCTTATTTTTGATATAAACGGCAAAGATATTTATTTCGTGCCAATATGTCTGTAGACTATCCTGCTAGATATTTTCCTTCGTTTTGCCTCTTTCTGTTAATACCTAGTTAATGCAAACAAGTAATATAAAAAATTTGAAATCAATTCCTACTTAGGTCAACATAGAAATATGGGGAGAATTTTCGCTTTAATAGGACATAGCATCTGCTTCATCCAACCCTAGAAAACTACAATTCTTTTATTCCATACCCTTTAAAAGACTTTAGAACTCTGTCTTACTTTTGCCACTAATTTTTGTTAAATATTACAATGCCATTTATCACAGTCATGTACTATTATTTATAAGTTGTTATAATTCCACAGGTGAGAATTCCTAAAAAATGGTCATAATTTGTAAGTCTTATAATATATTTAAAAACAACATATCTTTAGTTCCAATAAGCAGGAATAAATAAGTAGGAATTGACTTAATATGTGAAAAAAGTGTATTAACATCAAGTGCCATCCACTACAAGTTTAAAAAATGTATTTGAAATTAAGTGGATGAATAAAAAGTATTTTTTTAACGATTGAAAATTTGAACAGGATATATGAAGAGTGTGAACTAATAGTAGGAATAAGACATTTTACCTATCTCCATATGTTTTTGGTATAGCCAGAAACCAGCTGTTGCTTAAATAAGATATATGACAGTGTAAAGAAGACACTCAAAAATTGGTTGCGTAGTGCATGTAAATAGTGCTTTTCCTTTATAATACGTTTTCTGTTAAAAAAACAAGCGTATAGGCGTTCAGTAAGCTTCCTGAATTAACTCAATACTAGTAAATATTATTATTAGTATTGACGTAATTCAGGAAGCGTAAAAAAACTGTATTAACATCAAGTGTCATCCAGTACAAGTTTAAAAAAATGTATCTGAACTTGAGTGAATGAATTAAAAGTATTTTATTAACGACTGAAAATTTTAACAAGGTATAGGGAGAGTGTGAACTAATAGTAGTAATTTAAAAAGACAATTCTTAGGCAGCCGTTTCCCAGATTTAAGTATATTTCATTGTTCTATTAGCATTTTATTGGTATAATATTATTCAACACTTAAAAAAAACTAAATACACTGTAGGGTTCTCTAACCTTTACTAATAGTTATTTTAATTAGTCAACTTTTTCTGTCTTTCTTACTCCTCTTGCGTTTCTCGCCAGTATGAAAATCAGAACGAGTGTGCATTTAAACTGAAGTAGCAAAACGTTGAGTTAGAGCATGATTTCAACCGTGAGCGCGCGTTGTAAGTTCTAACAGCTGTTAACTTTGAATATTGTCTTCGTATTCTTGCCGATGTAGGTTTCTGGGTCAACTTGCTAGGTTTAATTGATTTCTGTAGTCTTGCACTACTAATTAGCTTTGACTTTAGTTGTTACAGTATCTGTTTAGTGCCTCACCGCAAATGGTACGTGACTATCTAAGCACGTAAGTCAGTGCCATATGTAAATTATTGTGTTCAATAAAGGGGTCTTTTACACCTTCCTTCTGCTGTATTCATCTTGGAGTCTTTGCGAGAAGTCGCAAAGATAGACTTTTAAGTAGATCTAGTTACATCGTATGTTAGCTAAGAAGACTAGATCCTACATGTTTTGTTTCCTATTAATAGAGATACTACAAACGCCCTTTTAATTAAAACGTTCCTCAAGATTAGAAAAATTGATAAATGGTAGTATCTGAATTTATACTAGTAGAAGGTGCAGTAGAGTTTCTAGAAGTTTATTTCGACTAATTTTAAATTATTGAACATTGCAGCCCCAATTGTAAAAAAGAATTGCCTGTGAATGTTTAAATTATCATATCACAGTCAAAGTTTTATAATCCATAATTCTTGATAATAAAGCTTTATAATGATTGTTATTAGTCGACAGCAATCTTGGTATGCAAAAACTATTATGTATAGTATAAAACTTGCTTGATAGTTTAAGGGCCCGTGCTTCCCATAGACTCGTAACGCAAATTTTACGAGATTATGTAAAATGTGTTCTTTAGTTTTTTCCCTACAATGTCAAGATAGCTTTGTTTATTTGAATATTATAAAGCACACGAAAGCTATATGCCTACGGAAAGGGAAGTCTTCGCTAAGGCCTTCCTAAGGGAAACAGGCTCGTATTCATATCAAATTATTGCAATGGAAAATGCTTGGAGCATCAAGTTTTTATTTCTCCCCTTTGTTTTTAAAGAAGCCCGATTATCGTTTTGATAAGTTTCATAAAATTTTTAGTAATCTTTTAAAATACAGTAAAATCTTTCGTAATCGGTACTTAGTTCAAAGGCAATACCAAAATAACGGCCCTTTTGAAGGCTCAAATGTAAACCCGAAATTTAGGCCTATGAGATACAAAAAACTTTAAGGAACCAATAGTTTGAAGACTTAAATGTAGACAAAATTTGTGCTACTTTTCTGCCGTCAAACATAAGAACCATTATCCGACCAACAAATTATCCTGACTGCTGCCCGGTACCTTTTATGCATCTATGTATGAACTTTGAAAGTAGTATCCATGACTTCCAAAATCAATTCACATTGGAAACGACAGGTTTAATTTGGTTCCTGTGTAGAAAGATATAAAAAACACTATTTTACGTCGCTGTTGGGATAAATTTTGGCCTGTGATCATGTTCTCAGATGACGAGTCGAACGACAAAGATCCTCTTGGGTTTTAAATTTCTTCTGGTGCCCATGTGAGGAATTTAATGTAATCAAATACTGGGAGAAGTTTAGTGTTAGGAAAGAGGAGTTGCAGATTTGGAAGAAGAGAGAAGGTGCGGGAGGTGTAGAGAATTTTGCTTCCGCCCCACTCTCTCAAGGATACGATGAAATAATCGGCCACGTACTGGAAAAGGAGAAAGATGATGTTGAGGCAAGAAGGAAATTGGTGACGAGACACATGATAAGAGAAATATGTGGAAGGATTGCAGACTTTCATCAGATTTGCCGAGCAATGCTCATCTCTGTCAGTATATAATGTCAAGAAGCTTCATTGTATGCACAGCGAATTTTTAAAACTTAGCAAGAATCTATAAGCAGGCAAACATTCAAAATTCTATATCATTACAATTTTTAAATTTAAGAATTTAATTTAATTTTCAATAAGAAATTTGTATGTAATAATATATATGGTATTTTTAAAATAATGCTTAATAATCTATGATTGGTGTTTTGAACCATTTTCTCGTGGTCTACTTGTAAGGATCCTAAGGTTTACTAACGTTTATTTTATTTTAAAACTGTACTATCACTTCTTATTTTCTACTTCCGGCCAGAATTAAATGCTTTAACTTCTTTATGCAAATTGACTTGCTAACGCTAAGTACTTAAGTTGTGGCTTTTTCCCAAGAGAGAGAGAGGAAGGAGTTATAGGAAGCAAGCCGCTTGCCACTGTAGTTTTATGAGTTTTCACTCTGTTGCTGGTTGCCTTTAAGGCCAGAGGTTTAGCCCTCTTGATAATTGTAGACGTATCGTAGTTTTAGCAGCTCGGCGTACTACATACGTACCTTTCTTTAAATAAAGGCCAATCTTAGCGCTAGGCATTTGTATACTAATTCAAAGTTAGTTTTTAGTTAGAGTTTTAGTTAGTAGTTTTTATATTCTTACGTTCAGACCTCAAGTGGTTAGTCTTTGTATTCCGAAGCTCGGAAGATCCTGTAAAAGATTGTAAATAAAGGGTTTCGTATACTCTTCCTGCTTGTGTTGTCTATTTCACACCTTCTTGAACATAGCTTGAGTAAGCTCCCTGTTTCGATTCAGGACCATTCATGTTTCCAACGCAAAGCAAGAGAAATACAAGTCCTGATATACTCAATTTTAAATATTAATGATGATGTTTACCAATAGCCGGCGCCTGCGAAGGTCGCTGTTTTTGGCTGATGCTTCTTTGTCAAGTATAGAATTCGGGATCATCGGTATCCTAGCTTGATCACTAAAACGCTGCAGTCAAAAACAGCTGAGTCTGACATGAACGATTTTAGAAATACCTTTCCTTCGAGGCGAGCTCAGCGTTCCTGAGATTTAATTGGAGCTTCTGAACTGAGCAAAAAGGAGATTTAACTGGGTTTTACTGAACTGAAGGACAGTTAAGAAGCTTTGATTATATAGATATTATACTCATGCATCTTTATAGGAATCATACTAAATCACTCGTTCGTCCAAGTTTTATGTAGGTTCACTCCTTTTTGTTTCTTACGAGTTATCAGTCTAAAATTCTGAAAGATAATTCGTATATTCAGTAATTTCGTATAATTCCGTTTATCAGTAATATCCAGTCCGTACAAGTAGTATGTTATGTCTATATATATATATATATCACTATATGTGCCATGGCAAGAGTCTGCGTGTTATATCAGGTTCATTATTATAAATGCTTTGAAAAATCTTTAATCATAGCCATTCTGTTTCAATATTTCCTGATGAGTGTACATATAAAACATTTTATTCTATATATAGATATATAAAAATAAATCATCATTTAACTTATACAAATATTAAAACTCATCATGAAAATATTTATCCTTTTTTCAGTTAGTACCTGTTTACCACATTTAAAGGACATCGAATATATCATCATCGGAAGGATGGGGCGCTAAACGAAAAGAAGCTAAGAATGGTTGAGAAATCATGGTCTAGAGCAGTAGTATTCAACCAATGGCTCGCGGGGGTCCGGTAGCTCGCTGTCTTATCTTTATGTAGCCGCCAACCACAATTCCGATATCGCCATGATACAGAAACTTTAATCTTAATGCAAAAAAATAATAAATTTACGATTACACGTCATGTACAGGAGCGTTGCATTTGGGGTCACCTACTCGCGTGTTATCACCTTCACTCTGTCCCTGTTTCCCCAGTTTTATCTGCGCGGCGTATTAGGATTAGAGTGCCTGTTTTACAAAAATCTTGTTCGTTCTTGGCACCACTGTACGTCTGCATAAGCGATGAGTCATCCTCAAAAGACGAGGTTTTATAAAAATTTGCATTCCATAAAAGACGAGGAGGATAATTAACATGAGGACAATTTCATATGACAAAAAAATAGCAATAATTTAAATTTCTGTAATTTAAGTATAAAGGAATCAAATTAGTTTAAATAAAATCAAAATTTAATTTTTGCTTTTATTTAAACTAATTTGATTCCTTTATACTTAAATAATGAAATTAAGAAATGGACCAAAACAGATGAAAGAGTCTGATAAGCAACGTATACTAATAGCAAAATCTAGTTTTGCGGGTGATTAGGAGAATTCGAAATTTTGTATATTAAAGAAGATTAGTCAAAATGAATGCAAGCTTTAAGAAGACAATTTCCAGTTATGGCATCTGCATGCGATGACGTTATGTATTTTGCATAAGATAGCATCATTTGTACCGTATTATAATAAAAGAAAGGTTTGCTATTTTGAGCTTGAAGTACAATTAATATATTTCAACCTCAATACTCTCTATTTATAGGATTTTTTAAACTGCATTATAATTATAACTAGGTTTACTTGTTCGCTTTGAAAAATAATTACATACGGAAAAGCCTAGGGGGAAGAAAATTAATACTTAAAAAATTCTAAATCAAATTTTTTATTTTCATGTTTACAAATCAAATAGAAAACATAATTACAAGTTTAAGTTTTGCATTTCATTTAAAATTACAAAAGTTTGTGACAATAAATCCAAAATTCTAACTTCTTCATTATGAATTCTGTAATAATCTTCTAAAATATAATACCTTATAATATTTTACGATTTCTTTGTCAGCTTACTTTATTAAAACTTTATATGAATTAACAAAGCTATGCAGTTAATGTCTTTTCTTTACACCTTATTGGTTCCTAATACTTCGTTCTTAAAAAAGAGGAAAATTTAAAATAATTTATTCATCAGGAAGTATCAGAATGTTAGAAATTAAGAAATGCTTTACTTTTTTCGTTAAAGCCAGATGAAGATACAGCAGCTATTAATAGCCATACTTAATATACAGATTGCTCACTAGAGAGAATATTACTTTGATATGATACGGGCCAACGGTAAAGAATGGGACGCCTGCCCACTGTTGAAAGAGAATTTTTTCAGTGTTACCGTAGTGAGAGCTGGGAAACACTCCGTGCCTTGTAGTATTCAACAAGCTCTTTCTTGTATTTCTCACGTAGTTTTATTTTTCCTTCTGAACGTTGGAATTTTGAAGAAAAGTTGCATGACGGTGTTTAATGTAACGAAATTTATAAGCAGCTAGTTTTTATACTCCCCGCAATTAAACTTACCCAAAGAGGAGGTTACTTGCATTCAGTAAGATAAAACAGGAATATTATCACCATGAAAATTTATCATTAATGGGACATTTATCTCCATGAAAATTTCATTTTGCAAATCATTACAATCTATCTTAAGTAATATTCTTGACTGTCAAAACATTCCTTGATGACAATTTTAGCATATATAATTACTTTGTTTGAAGAAGATATTCTTTAAAATAATGTAAAAGAAATTCAAAATTTCAAACAAAGCTGTCAACTTCAAGACGTTTAAATTAAGTAATAATCATTCTTATATAGAAAGAATCCGGACGTCACAAAGAGTTGCAATGAGTTGGACAAGCAGTTTTAATGTTTTATGGGTTAACTGTGCTTTTTAGCAGCCATTCATTCTTTGATAACATTTAAAATAATGCTACTACTTTAAAATAGTAAAAACTTTCGATTTATACATAAAAGTATCTTTAATACGATGCGTAATTTATCAAATTTGGATATGAAGCTAATTTTGAAAATATGATTATATTATGTGCTTAGACAATATGCCTCCAAGAGGTGTTTCAGAAATTTTGCATTAAGTTGTGCATCTGCAGTTGAAGAACTAAAGTACAAGTATTAATAGATCTCTCTAATATCGGGTTTTTTTCTAGAAGGGCAGAAAACAATTTGTTTTCAGTTATGCCTTAGCAGTAATTTTTAGATGGATCTATAGAACGTTTGCAATGTATGGAAGGGATATAAAAGATATCTTTATCTGGAACTTAACACGCCACTGAGAATACCATTACTTCTTTAACACTTTTATAACTTATTTCACAAGTAAGAAAAAGAAAAGCAGTAAATGGTGCATTAAAATCTCTTACCGCGAGGAACTTTTTGATTTTGGCATCTAAAATATCTTCCTTTTTCCATTTTACTCCAATGGACTCCAGTTCACCTGGAATTAGAAACAAAAATTTCAGATAAAGGATTTATGAAATCTTAACTTCAGCATATGTTAAATCGTCAGTTTTCAACATACATACTAATGCACTAAAATTACACATATTTTCAGATCTGTGGGTTGGTTACAAACAGCATTCCCCTATTATCAGAGTTTTTTTGTGGCCCGTTCCAATAAACGTACCGTAATGAAACTTAAAATTTAGATTGCTTATAAAATGGGAAAAAGAATTAACAAAAAATATTCAAAATTTCACCCTTAAATTGCTATTTTCACCAAAAAAGTTTTTTGAAAATAGAAAATATCAAATTCTCAAATTAAAAACTACACTTCCGTATAAAAAGCAATTGGTCAGTAATAGATAATTTTTCTCCTTCGATTAGCATGACTTTAAATAAAAGTAACGGCTTCTAGTTGTCAGTTTATTTTATCAGAAATGAAGTTTTGTTCATCTGCACTGCGATAATGCCGTCGTTTGAACTGACTGTGAAAGAATGTACGTGAGAAGACTGGATAAGGACTGATAAAGAAATTTGAAAATGCTAGAAATTTGTGTGGTTCCAGGGAAGGGACGGCGACCTATTCCGCAAGACATCAGTGTTGCTACGGCTTACGGAGCTTCCAGTTTCCAATATTGGAATACGAGTGCTCTGGTAATAGCACGTGAATTGCCCATTTTCTTGTCAACAGTGTGGGAAGAGTTGTGGTTCATTTTGAAGTGGCTATAAAATCTACATGGTGGAAGATGTGCGAGAGCTCGCAGATTTTACTTCCGATTTCTCTCAATGATGGTTTTCACCAAAATGTGGCCCTGAAGTATTCTATGGACAGTAGAGGAATATTTTAAGAAGAAGATGTAACTGCTCAAAACTGAAGCATGTGGTTAGCTTCGCGTACTGATGTGGTGCATCAAGTCTCAAAACATGCACTGCGTCCATGTTTTGAGACTGTATACGCGAATTAACAGTCAATTTTATTTTGCAGCCATGTTTCTTTGAAGAACCATCACCTAAAGGTTCTGTAATGTGAACCAAATTTAGCGATGCTTTTATCATTTAAAGAAGGTTTTTAAGAGTTTTTCTCTTTCTGTGGGCCCATAGCTGTGGGGACTTCTAAATGATCGTATTTATCAAGAAAATATTTAGATTCTGCCTGAGATGAAGGTAGCATAATACGGCATATCATGGATAATGTTCAAGATACTCTCCACGTGGCTATTAATCATGCTGTCTTACTCTTCCTTCCGGCAATACATAATATGCCCACTTGGATGCACAGGTGTCTACCTTTTTCATCATGCACCTATCCTGTGCTACCAAAATATTATAAATGCCTAAGCTTGGGTACAGAATACTCGCTGCAAACCTATGTGCCTTTGCCTTAGAATTAGATTATTTACCTCAGGATTCCCAATTCTGAACAAATTATAATAATTTCTCTTTTAAATAAATTTTTATTCAACAGTATTGTGGCAAAAATTTGAAAGATTTATTTCTTTCGGAGTTTTCCCCCCATGGTCTAAATAACCCAATTCAAAGTCAAAGTTTTATTAATGCATATTAATTAGAAAGGCTGCAAGGGACTCTGAACACTAGACGTTAATTTTAACCACTAAGTATATGCAGCTGTGACGAGGTTACACTGGATTTAAGTTGTGGAAGTCTTTTATGAAAACAGCTGATAGATTGCATCAGATTATGATGTGAACAGCTAAGACATTATATCACTTTCCATTGGCGACTCAGTTATTCGCCAACTTGTTTGTTGTGACATGGGTAAGCAATTTTATCAGATAAGAACTCATTTTATTTCACTTTGCCTAATAAAGAAAGAGGAATTTTATGATTCTTATTCTTCTCACCGTATAATTTTGTTTGGCAGAAATGCTTAAAGGCGGGATTTTGTGAACCTCGAGGCTTTTGTTTCTTTCGCTTTCTTTTGGAGCTGAATAAATGAATGTTATTATGGCATTGCTATTGAAGGCACGTTTACGTCTAGGTGCTGTTGTGATGGCTGCTGAAATTATCACCACGATCATTTATTGAGAGCTACCGCCCCTTTCTTTTTCTGAAGTTTTCTGATTGGGGACTGGAGATACCCATATTCTCAGGACGGAGCCCCGGTTACGTTTTTCCATCCGACGTTCACCGTATTGGAGACCAGTGTTCACAACGGGGTGGTGCAGGCTGCTGTTACGAAGACTGTGTAAGCTACATAAGAATACCGTTCTTCAGTGCTAGAAGTAGGAGGAAGGATTCTACACTGGCCGGTTTCGAAAAATTAGTGCGGATTTCAGTGTAATATGGAGTAATGAATAAACAGTCTTTGTAAATATAACAAGATCTCCATACTTTTTGTATTGGGAACAGCATAATCATGACACGGTAAAGACCAAGAATCTACCAGTGTAAGCCATTATACGACTCATTATGAGATCATTATAACAGTACCACTCTGAACACTAACACCACGTTAGTCAGGTTGACTTTAATACTGATATCAATATAATTCACATCAGTAGCAGTATGTATACTAGCATTGTACTATTAGCTATAGTTTGAGATTCAACATATGAACTTCATGGGTCAATTGAGCAATATATATATATATAAACAATATGACTACTGATTTAAAGTGTTAATAAGTATTAAAATAATCTCATGTTAGCATTTATTAAAATTTAATCTGGTGTTATAATTCAATAAGAAAATAAAATTTATACAAGTTTAGATGTCTGGCAAACACAAGAAGAGTTAAAGTAGATGGTTTAATTATATGCAGTGTATGAGATAACATAAAATAGTCCCACATCGCTGCAATTAAATTTTTAGTAGATTTAAAATCAAACACACTACTGTACTACTTCAAATTTAAACCGCCCCAGTAGCGTTAAAGTTAAGCCCCAGTAGGAAATTTAACAAACTGGAAAATTTAACAAAATAGTGAAAAATAACTGCCTTCGAATTTATGTTCAGATTGATTTTAGAACTGGAATCGTAAAAAATTTAAAATGGCTTTATTATAGATATAAAAATACCCACTATAAAACCATTTTGTCTTTTAAGACCTGACTATTTTAAGACCCAATCATTGGGGAGTGGAAGATCGGCAGAAATAAGTTGTTAAAAGATCCGCTTTAAATTTAAGTCGCAGCCTAATTTTGAGTTTTAAAAATCTGAATAAAATGTGCTACTTAAATTCGAAGTAATGCGCTAATATTATTCGCAATTAAACCTCACATAAAATTAATCTGTTATTCAACGTGCAAGAAGCTTCTTTTATGACTTTTATAGGGTGAAATTTGTTAGGATAGAGCGGTTTAGAAATAACCTATTTTTGAACAAATACTCATTATTTTCTAATAATTGTCTTCCATTATTTTTACATGCTGTTAAAAATTTTTGCCCTCATTTAAGTTTCTAAAATTGTATCGAAAGTGTTGCATGGAGATGTGTAGGGTATGTCATAATATTCATATTTCAATTAAGCATATGAATGGGAATTATATGCTTAATTGAAATCTGGAAGTGGAGAATATGTCTGTTAGTGCCTGATAGTAGTCCACTCATTTATATGTTCACAGAGAAGGTTTTTGACAACTGAAACAAAAGAGGAATAGGTAAGACCTTATGTTCACTGAATTTATGATGTGGATGTATAAAAATTTCTGCCAGCAGCTTTCTGTATTATAAGAAATTAAGCCTCTAAATTTATTTATTTAAAATTGTCATAAATTTCTTCATTAGCCCTAATCTGAAATATACTTATGACATGATGGTTTTGCCAGACAAAGGTTGTTTAGTTACATTTTATTGTGTAACTACCATATCTTTCATCGAAGGCTATTTTATTCAAATAAATTGGTCATATTTTGGTTTGATGTCTTAAAAGTGTGTGTGTGTGTGTGTGATTATGGCAAAGCCTCGAGGGCTATCTGCCTATGGGGAGGGATGCCTTCGTGGAGGACTTTCTAAGGGAAACTGGTTCGTATACACGTTACACATGGGGAAAACCACGAAAACGCCCATGCAGCCAGCCCGTTCGTGGGATTCGAACCTCGGACCGAACTACCAGTGTTCAGCGACTTTACCGCTCGGCCGCTGGTGGGCCTGATGTCTTAAAAGAAGAGAAATCAAAAGACACTAACATTTTATGCATGTACTTTCATTAACTACGGAGAAAATTATTCGTTTTTAACTGGAAACGGATTGTAGAGGCAATTATGTTTTTCGTAGCTGGAAAGGAAAAAGAAAACATCTAAGCCTTTATTCGAATCACAGATTTTTCAAATACCAGCTGAACGTACTAGTACCTGATACCTCAAGAGCATACATAGGATAATTTGATAATTCCTTATATTATACCCCACTTAAAGAGCGATTGGACAAAAGACATCTATGGACCAAATCTAAGCAGAGAAGAATTATCATCCAGCACATTTTCGTTCTGAAGTCGCTATGGAGATATTAGGGTTAAGAAACGTGAAAAATCGACTAAACCCTAGCCGAAATTTGAACGATAGTTCTCCCGATTGCTAGCAAGACGTACTTCCATTTACACCACGAAGGCATGTGGTAAGAAACGGAAAAATATATTCACTCTCACCCACTTAAAGCATGACTGTGGAGCAAAATGCCAAATCCTGGCGAATTATCGCCCATTACATTTTAATTCGATCGCCACTTGTAGAGTTTATTAGATTTCTTGAAGCAGGAAACATGAGAAATGTGCAATACCTGCCCTGGTACTCGATCTCTGGACCTCCATATTGCTAACCGGATGTGCATCTAATTACATCATGAAGGTATATGGTAAGGAGATTTAAGATACATTACAAAGTAAATAGAAATAAGTAGAGTACAATTTGCAATTTTTTGTAAAAATATTTCTCTTGTTTTGTTGCAATAGAAATAATAAATAAGTGTTTTTTTTTTTTTTTTTTTTTTTTTGCCAAAGAGAAAGCGAATCATTTTTGTATTGAAAAACGAAGTTTG